GGGGGGATGCTCACCGCCTGAAAATGCGACATAACGGAGTCGTTTTTCTCCGTCTCAAAGCACGCTCAAAGTCATGATCCCGGCTGCTAAATTTTTTTGTTGTGCCATAAAACTTTGACGAATACATGACGCTGAGCGCACTTTAAGACGGAGAAAAATGACTCCGTTACGTCGCATTTTCAGGCGATGAGCATTCCCCCCCCCCCCCCTCCACCCCGCTCGTGAACTGACAAGAAATACATCCTCACATAATTCGGATATGTAAGCAATAGCCATTCTACGAATTTTAAGCCATAGGCTGCCTCTTTTGGAATTTTTCAAACAGGAATTATCAATTTTCAGAAATTGGTCGAAATGGAACTTTGATTGTGAATATATGGACGTATTTCTATCAAACAGAACTATGTGCAGGTGGAAAATATGGGGTGTGCTCGTTCTTTAGTGTTTGGGCCACAAGACTGAGTGGGAATGATAAAGCGCCAGTGGCGTATAGCCGCCGCTTCAGTAACCATTCGTCGTCTTTAACTCAGGAGCCTTGCGCACAACGCTCTTGACACATGCCCACGGCTCATGAGTCTTGCATTCAGTCTGCACACAGTTCCGTTTGCCGAATTAGAAAAGCGGGATTTTACATTCTGTCAAACGGAACTATGTGCACACTCCATGAGCTGTGGGCATGCGTCAAGAGCGTTGTGCACAGGGCTCCTGAGTTGAAGACGACGAATGGTTACTGGAGCGGCGGCTACGTCACTGGCGCTTTATCATTCCCATTCATTCTTATGGCCCAAGCACTAACGAGCACACCCCATCTTTCCCACCTGCACATAGTTCTGTTTGATGAAAATACGTTCATATTAAGAACGAAAAATGGGATTGATCTCCAGTTTGCGCGAGCATTCTTTTGTTTTCATCTTCTCTCCAACGATGTGTCACAAGGGGGGGGGGGTTGCCAATTGAAAATTTCGAGTTGCCCTCCCTAGGGGGGCTCCCTTGGGGGGCCCCACAAATGAACCTCCCTTAAAAAATCAGCTCCTTGCCAAAATTAGCAATGGTCCAAACAGGAGCCTTTCTTCTCTTTTTGTTCAAAATTTAGACACTTTTTCAGGTACTTTTAGCCCACCCTATATATTATACTCTATTTCTGTATGTTGCTGATTATTCATGTACCCAACAAGATGTTTAGAAATCTCTGTGCGAACTTATTGGCAGCTCGTGTGAGCAAGATTGGCGCACAAGTGAACAAAATCGTCTTCGTGGAGCCCCTAATACCGTATCAAAGAACATCATACCACAAAATATGATCAAGTGAAGTTCAAATTGTGTGTCTTATAGAATTGGTCTCACTTTTTTCAGTCAATATCACATCATTTGCAAAGATGATCTACCCACCTGTAACTTCTGAAATTTATCATCCCTCACCCCCACCGTCAAAAACGTGATCATGGACTGCTCTGCCTTCAAGGACAGAACAGTCCAACAGTCAACAGGAATACAAACCCCCTATCCTGCGATGATCCCCATGTTACAACCAAAATGTTGAAATTATTTCCTTCCATTAAGTTAAGAATCTACATTTTTGTACTCACCTTTCATATTTTTTGTAAAGACATGAATGACCTGAGATGCTGAACAGCTCTAATAAAATTAACGAACTAACCATGTATGAATTATATTAATTGATTTGGGAGGGTCTAGATTCGATCGAGAAATGAAAAGAGGAACCAATCAACAGACAATCAATCGACAACTAATTAAAAAACCGGCGAAACATAAAATGGTCAATCGATGTCGGTGTCGCTGTGGAGCGACTCAATCGACACCGATTCGATCGCGCTTTGTCGATCGATATACGGCTATCGATCGAATCGTGAGACAGAATTTCTGATGCTGCCGGATAATTATCATTTGTTAACTGTAAGTTTTGTAACCATACTGCAACTATCCCATTTTAATCCTAAAATTTAAAAAATATTTTTAAAAAAACTGCCTCTCGTCCGATATAAGTGAACTATTCTCATTGAAAATGCAGAAAAACAAGTTTAAATCTCATACAGTATTTGATAGAGCAATCGAAGGTCAGTAGACTCGGTCAGTTGGATAAGAAAGAACTCTGAGCTGAATAACATTCTTTACCTGTCTGTTCACGGGTAGATTCTTGCCCCACTTGGCAGTCTTTCATTGGCCACTGACTAATAATTATTGTCACGGATAATACATCAAAAGAAGCATTCTCCAAGTGACTTGGGTCGATCACGATATTTTGATGACTGGAAGTCGATTCTATGACAGTCATGCGTTTAGATCAATAAAATAATTTATATACAGCGGGTAACAAGGCTAATTTTCACGAATAAAACCGAAACGTTTCGGCTGAAAACTCAGCCTTCCTCAGGTGGATAAATCATTAAAAAAATTGTAAGCATCTAAAAATAGTACTTTGCTGTACCCTTCAAAGCGAGAACAATGTTTTATAAAAGAAATTTTGATAACACAGTCAACAAGAAACACCTCAAACGAGCATCGGTGAAACCAATCCAGCGCTTAAAGTTTCAGCCGATAGATAGCGACATTTACCAGGCGTGTACCCGGGCGAATAGTACACGAAATTTCAAATAAGCCGTGCTACTTATGATCTCGGAAGCACTGGTGGTAGAGAGCACTGATCGTGAGTCCGCTCACGTCCGCGCAGGAATTACAAATAGATTCATAATGCCTCAAAATTTCAAACCATTTCCCGCACCAATCTCGGAAGTAGCTTCCCTTCCCGACATAAAATGTCAACCTGGTTCAAATTGAACTGGTGACTGAGCTCTCTTCGATGAATTTTGGGAGCTGTTAACACCCGCCGTCGTCATTCCTATGTTGCGACACACGCTTGCGCAGAAGTTGTTTAGTTTGCCCAAGATTTCGCAACACTGTTTTTCCGCCTTTCAAATATATGTAAAATAATCGATTCTTGGTGAGGCATCTTGCTCCACCTTATATCAATGTTTTTAATGGATTGAAATAAAGGAAAAACAGTTTCGTCAGGTTGCAAAATCGCCACTGCAAATGGCGCTAATACAGTCTCTAAGACATTACGCCTCGGGTCATCGTCCAAGTTCAACAATAAATAGATGTTTGATTGTTCATGATTAATATTCATGAAAATCTCAACGTGCACGGCGATAAAATGAAAGTCCAATTCCAACTGCTGGGTGTGTTTGGGGCGAAAAACGGCGTATGACGTCAACCACTGGTGATGCATATCATAGTTTCTTCCACCTTCCTTATATTCGTGTTTTAAGTATGGAGCACCTGTGAAAATGTGCATATTCTTAATTGATGAATTCTAGGTGGAAGAAACCATGGTAAGTACTACCACGGTAGATGACGTATTAACAATTTTTTTTTGAGAGACAATATCTCTTGTAAGATTGGACATTGAAAGTAAGCGAATGAGCAGATCTGATTCTTTTTTGCTCATCCACAAGCTTAAACCATCAAAACGCGATACTGTGACTATGACAACCGACTCGTTGCTTTTCAATTCTTTTCATCCTAATTTTTTTGTCTTTAAGGGTCTTAATATTTAAAAAAACGCAAATAGGTTGATTATTTTCAGCAGATAGGTCACGGTCACCCCGGTGCAAGAAAATTCACTTTAAGTATAAGTACTGCTCTTGCATTGATGGGAGGGAAGACATTGCTAATTCTCGCAGTAAATTTTCTTATACCGGGGTACCCTAACACACATTTTGTGTATTTAATTGATACAAAAACCCTAAGCAACGAAAAAGAGCGACGCCAAGAATGGCACAATTTGGGCCAGAAGGGATTTTTCTGAAACCGGGCCCAAACGATACCTTATGATACCCTAAAACTCTGGTAAAAATTTTAGCTTGAGTATACGCACNCCGGCCTCAACATTGACTTGTAGAGAAGCAGCTTTAGTTGAAGTGAAAGCCGAGATTTGCGACCCAAGAGCCACTGCATATTGGAGAATTTTAGTCGCAGTTGAGCGACTTTTTTCTTAATGTGGGTACCCCACCTGAGCCTGGAATCCAGATGGAGGCCGAGATATTTAGCGATTTTATCGTTGGGAATTTCAGTTTCCCCTAAAAGAAGGGGGATGTGAACAAACGGTCTGTTTGTGAATACAACTTCAACCGACTTAGACGCGTTTAATTTCGTTTTATCTTTTTCCGTCCAACGATTAATTTTATTTAAATGAATTTGTGCATTTTGTCGTGCCTCCCTGTAACTTCTGGACGATGATAACACGAGAGTGTCGTCTGCGTAAATGCCCAACTTTCCCCCCCTCCCAGACTGTGGGATGTCTGTAGTAAAGAGAGAGTTCTGTAGTAGATGTAGATGTGCAAAAAATTATGAAACCCCGAACTTTTAATGCTGTAGACCTTTTAAAGCTCATGTAACTTAAGTCCAATGTTAACAGCGTGAGATATATGTCGTTTCCGCTAGAAACGTCGAGGTGTGGGATTCTACCTGAGTGACTCGAATAAACAATAAAACAATGGAAAAGCTCGTGAAGGGCTCCTCATTCGAAGAGTTGAGGAACGGTGCATCGCTCAGGGTTCAAGGTTCAAGGTCCAAGCTATAAGGTTTAACTCAAATTTTCCTGCATTCTTCCGGCTTCGATTTGTGGCATTGGTCAATTTACTTGATTGCTGAATTTCTATTAATATGTACAGCAGATAA